CAGTAAGCATACTCATACACATCACAGCATTAGAGGCACCAACAGGCATACTCATACACATACCCATACACATCACAGCATAAGAGGCACCAGTAAGCATACTCATACACATCACAGCATTAGAGGCACCAACAGGCATACTCATACACATACCCATACACATCACAGCATTAGAGGCACCAATAGGCATACTCATACACATACCCATACAACATCACAGCATTAGAGGCACCAATAGACATACTTAAACACATGTACCCATATACACAACAGTATATGAATAGATATGAATGTATATGAATACATACATAAGGAACAAAATATTAGCAATAACATTACACGTATTAAGCAGGATTACTGTAGTACAGCACTGAGTCAACATAAAACACTTACCCAATAAATTAATGATTCCATCATTGTAGCAAGCAAATAACTTAACCAGGTCCTTGAAGAGGAGGAGAAAGGACGCTTTGATGACCCCATTAGACAGTTCTTTAGGATGAACCTGCAAGAGAAAGAAGACAGAGGCACGAGTGAGAGAAGAATCACAAGGCAAGTATCACTGTATTGTAAATGACCGAAGAGGACCGGATGTGTTGTGGGAGTACAGCAACTTCTGGCAGATGCACGTCGGCTGGCTCAACTCACGTCAAACTCCAGCAGAATATCGATCTGGCCCTGCAGGACCGGCATCCCTTTCAAGAGTTTGTCAGTGGCCAGTGTCCTCATCACGCCATCAGTACTGGAATAAACACAAGAATCAAAATGAAGCAGAAGAGGCAGGATGTATGTAGAGCATTCGTGTGGCTCATGGCATGAATTTATTATTGTACATTTTGTTAGAAGAAATCAGGGACAGGGACAGTGGCCCCAGCTGAAAGCTGATTGGCCCCCAGGGCACCCCCCCTCTCCTGTCACCCACCGATTCAAAATATATTACTGGCTAATAATAACATTGGCCCCATGAAATGAAATAGGGCCCGCTTATGCCCCCCCACCTTAAAAAAATCCTATAATCGCCCACACTTAGCACAGACCACTCGTGTCATAGCTACTGATGTCTCTCGTGAACTGAGTGCCGTAGTAAAGGAGCCGTTGTCTCACCCCTTTTTCACTCTGGAAAAGTCGAAGGCCATCTGACGATATGCAAATGCCTTCTCATTCAAGTATCTGCCATAGCGTCTGATGAACGTGGACATATCATAACCTGGGAGAGTGTAGAATAGTCATCACAGACTAACAGGAGACTACTGATCTTAGTTTGCTAATAATATAAGTGATCCACAAACTCTCACATAAGTTACATTTCATGGATTTAACTTCCCACACGGGGGACACTTTATAGCAAGAAGCGCATGAGCCAAAAATATTGGAAGACGTATTAATTCAATGAAAAGATAAAGCATAAATTTACTTATAGCCATTTGTCACCTTTTTGTTTTAGCACTTCTGTAAACTCCGTGTATTTAAAATATTTTTTTTGCATGAGTCGTTTTTTACGTAAGTTGAAAGCTCCCTGTATATTGCAATAGCTTAAGTACCTATCGCCATCTGAGTTTACAACGAACTTATTCATTTATCAGTCAAAAAAATCAGCTGCTGTTTGTATAAGCAGACCTGTATTTGATATGCAGATTGCTGCATCCCTGGCCTGTTGCTGTTATTGTGTGGTGTTGTGTCCACTGGTTTTAAAATAGATCACAGATTTTAAAATATAATATTTCTCGGTTCTGCCTCTTAGGTTGTGTTAGTCAAGTGTTGGCTCAGATCCTTCAGATATACTCTGAAGGTACTCTTTTTCAGGTACTCTTACCCTGAGCGCCTGTTTTATCAACAAAATTACTGACGTTGAAGAGAGCCCCTCTTGATGCCAGGTACTGGATGAACCTCTGTGGACAAAGCAAAATGCAGACAAACAGACACATTTTGGAAGATGGAACCAAAAAACAAGTCATACAGCACAGAAAGTTAGTGGATAAAAACAGACTTTCTACTCAAAATTAAGCAAAGGAAAATCCCTTAGTGGAAAAGGAGAGGCTTGGTTGGACATTCTGGGATGGGGTCTCCCGTGTGACCCTACGACCTTTACACAACACGTCTAACACCACATACTCTGGCATCTCCTGATCTCCACTGCTGCTTGATCTTTATACCAGGATGGCCCTCATATTTTAAAACCCAAGTCAGGTTAAGCTGATTTAACTAGTGGCTTCATAAAATGGCATCATTTAATCGATTGTTGAGGCACTGTGACAGTAGATAGCGGTGCACCAATATGGAAATGTCGGTTGATAACTGATAAATTTTTGCGTAATATTGTTTAACCAATAACCAGCTAACCTCTGCACTTCATAACTCTGTAGTCTGTGACATTACTTCTTAAGATCTTGTTGTGAATTTGTGTAAAAATCACACCATATTATCAAGGCAGCGAAACATCAACAAAGTAGCGTTGACTTGGGAGACTGTAGCAGGTATGCTAAATGGTGAATGAGCCTACAGAATCCCACATCCCCTATTATAGATGATCGTCCAATGCAATCATCTCCATTATTTTAGTAATTATGTCTTTAGCTCTGGTGCTATTAACCTTTACATATTGACTAAACTCTAGATATCAGTCAGCAATATCGACCACGATTGACACACTGGACCAATATCAATGTCATGACTTTTAGAGAACACTGGCCAATACTTATGGTAATTGTTACTGTGTTGTGCATTTCAAACAGTAGGAGTAGCCCTTAATGTACCAGCGACCCAGTCAGCTCCCGGGTCCTACCCACCTCATTGCCGTTCAGCATTATGTGATGCGTCGTGACCAGCGCCTTGAACACCACCACCCAGCTGGCATTGCAGGCCCGCTCAAACAGTGTCTCCGCCATCTGGGGGATGTTGACGTTCGTCTCGTTGGTGGCATGGATCAGAACTGGATGGGGCAGCATTAACACCGTCAGTGTGAATATGGGCCCATTTTAGGGCCATTACCAATGTCAAGTTATATTGTCACGTGTTCTGAGGAACACAGTGAAATTCTTATGCCATGGTTGCAGGGCAGGGGGCAGGGCAGGGGATTGGACAGACAGTAGTGCAATACAAGACAAAACAGTGCAATATGAAAATCAGTAACAATAAGCAGTTATAAATATGTGCAATTGGGATAAGGAAGCAAGTAGACCACAGTACAGTAAGATAAATATTTATGAAGTGGAATATTAACAATGTGCAATACAATGCAATGGGGAACAGGTGCAGGTCACCAGTTGCTCAGCGACCTGACGGCTTGGGGGACTGAACTGTCTCTGAACCGGCCCCAAACACTGCTCTCAAACAGCACCACCAACGGCATAAGGAACACAACCAGCAGTGTCCAGTTAATCTGCCCATTCGGGTCACACATTAGGAAGGACAAGAGAGCTTCCAAGCGCTGGAGCACCAGAAGGTGCAGGAGGACAGCAGGAGACAGACACAGGACGGCCCCCTGCTGTCCGCCTGTAGACATGGCAGCCTCACACGTATGCCAAAAGACATTCATCTACATGGAAACCAAAAGACATTCATCTACATGGAAACCAAAAGACATTCATCTACATGGAAGCCAAAAAACATTCATCTACATGGAAACCAAAAAACATTCATCTACAAGGAAGCCAAAAAACATTCATCTACATGGAAGCCAAAAAACATTCATCTACAAGGAAGCCAAAAAACATTCATCTACAAGGAAGCCAAAAAACATTCATCTACATGGAAGCCAAACATTCATCTACAGTTACCTTTGCATCCAATTATGAAATAAACTCAAAATATTTAACTACTGAGAGTACTTTAGGAATTGAAAATATTTATATGATAAAATATTTAAGTATTTGTATTTTAATTCTACGAATGATGATCTAAACGTGTTGATCCTTCACACTATACTGCACAGTATAGACTGCAGTACACACAGTTCTTGAGTGACGTAAGTAATCTGATCCACAAACCTTTATGCAAGTCAGATTTTATGTATGTCGGATGTACCTTCCCAAGCCGTTTAAGACACCTCACAACGAAAAACACCAAGCCAAAAATATACTAATAAAAAGTACTAAAGAACACGTATTAAATAAATGAAAAAACAAAGCATAGATTTACATACAGCTGCAAGTTGCCTTTTTGCATAAGCACTTCCGTAAACTCTATGTATTTCAATTTCTTTTGTGAAACTCTGGATTTACGCGAGTCAGATTTATGTTGCCTGCATTGCTGTTTATTCTGTTTTTGACAAATGTGACAGTTTGTATTTAAGGGTCTCTGGATACAGGACATTTAGCATAAGCTCTTTAATACATGGGTGGGCTTGATCTCCAGCCTCTCTTAGGCTCCTAGTGAAGGGCAACTCAATCTTAATAGGATTTCATACCTACAGGCACCACAGATGATTACTTGATAATTTACTAAATTATATATTCAATCATCAATAATTATTCATAATTAGGACTGCCATTATCAATTATGTCAAAATAATTGAGTAATCTACCAATTAATCAGACAAATCATCAAGTAATCATTTATAATATAATATAATACAATATGATATGATGTGATAAGATATAATATATACATTGCAGGATGCACACCCAGTTACACATATGACCAATTTAGGCACTCCAATTCACTTTTTTGTTGCATGTTTTTGGACAGTGAAAGGAAACCGTAGGATCGTGTGCAAGCTCCACACGCGAAGCGACAGTGTGGTGACAGCACTGCCCAGTCTCACTGTGCCACTCTCAATACAAGACTTGCACGATGTGTGATGTTAATAATGACACTGCATTTCATGCACATGCAATTGTCACACTGCAATGATCGCAATAGTCTGCTGGGCTGCTTTTGCTTCCACACAAATTGTGCTTCCACTCTTTATTTGGGCCCTCTTCCTCTATACGCTGCCTTGCTTCTGCAGTATTGCCCAGTAATTGAGAAGGAAATTTTTAATTGATGCTTTTTAACAATCGTGTAATCATGACAAGCCTATTCATCCATACATTTGATACATCCATACTGCTTGTAATATTAAGGGTCGCGGGGGGGTCCAGAGGCTATCCTGGGGGGTAGGGGCACAAGGCTGGGAACAACCCAGGGCGGGGTGTCTACCCATTGTGAAACTGGGAACACTGACAAACCATTCACCACAATTTGGTAGCTCCAATTCAACTCAACATGTTTTTGGACTGTGGGGGGGTGGGGGTGGGGGTGAACCAGAGTACCCAGAGGAAAGCCCACAATGGCACTGGGACAACATGCAAACTCCACACACATGGAGGGATGGTGGAGACTCAAACCCAGACCCTACAGATGTGAGGCAACAGTGCTAATCACTGTAGCACCATGCCACCCAGGCAATTTATAATAATTACATTAAATTAAGATTTTTTTTTTTAATTGTCATTTTACAAGCAGAGAACTCTGCTAAGAAGCATATAAAGACTGAGCGTTTCTGTGGAAATACCGTGCATTTTAAACATTTTAACCTTCTTCCCTCATTTACTCATTTTTTCATCCTTCCCTTCCCATTTGTCCCCCATTTCCCAGGTTGCACTTGCTCCTCTAATCGCTAATTTAAGTGCTAATGGTGGCTCACCGGGGCTCAATTGCTAATCAGGATCAGCATCTTCTAAATAAAGAGCGTAATCCCGAGAGGGAGAGGTGTGCCTGTCTCAGCAGGATATGCAGGGGACTGGCACTATGTAGACGTGCCCAGACCAGGCCAGATTAGCCGAGCCACGATGCAGGTCTGATGCCCACCACGGGCACTGTGGGCTGCTCACCTTCAGAAATGGCAGCGTTGAGGGGCTCCGCCTTCCAAAGTTCCTCTGTTTTTACTTCTGAACACACCACCTATACTGAACATCTCGTTGTAGTGAAATTGTACAAGCCTCACAAAAGGTTATCGGTCCAGATGAGGGGATCAGAACCCAGCTCAATTCACCAGGAAGTCCTTTCCAACACAGACCAGCCCAGAAACCCAGTGCACTTCATGAAGCTGGAATTATGAGCTTCCAGATTCCCAAAGGCTTTGCCAAAATGACAAACATTTGGGTGTTTACGCAGAAAGTCACTGCTTCGAGGTCTAACAATCACAGTAACTCAACAAGTAAACAATTGTGTGTCATATCATCATTGTAAGTACTAGCGAACAGGCCAAAACCATGCATCGTAAGCTATTTTTTTCAGGATTGAACCATTTTTTGTTTCTGCAGCGCACAGTTGTGCATTAAGCACACTGAAACAGTACTCTGTCCCCAACAGTGGCACTCTGTCTATGCACTACTAAGTCTGTAGTGTCATGTTGTCACACGACGGACCCCCACAGTCATGACAGTATGAGCACGCTAAGCTGGGGGCCACAAAACACCAGATGGAGAGGGAGTAGGCACAGAGGACCCCCTCGACACTATGCACCATTCAAGACACATATCTGTGTGTGGTGACATACAATCACTACACTAAATATTAAATAAACACATTTCTTATTTAGAAGATGCTGAAGCAGCATGTTCTGACAGCAAACTCGCTACGATTCTCTGACTTTACTCCCTAGCTATTTACTTAGTTATTGAAACTTGCGGGGGAGGCAAAGCGATTTTTTTAAGTGGCGCCCCAGAAATAACAAACCTGCCCACGATTACATGTGACCCACGGGGTCCCAATAGTAGCCACAGAGAAGCCGGCTTCCACTGGGAATCCGCCGAGATGCCTGGGCATGGTGGGAACAGAACGAGCACCATCTGTGTGGATGCAACCCTGGAGTGTGGAATGGCTGCATAACAGGCGTGTATGTATCTAGGCAGTACGTCACGCAGCTTAAACACCGAGCTACAGCAGCGCTGATCCGCTTCAGCGCAGGTCAGTTCTGACCACACGAGGTGGCGCTGAGTCCCACTGTAACCACACACACCGTGGGGCCGAGTTACACTGTAAACACATCCACACCATATATGAGGACGAGCCGCACAAGCCAACACTAAGCCTGAATGACCGATTCACCGCCGCTACTCAAATACACAGTCACACCCGGCAATCCACCATCACAAAACCACACGAAAACCAGACATTACACTTTACATCTCATTTATTTACCAGATGCTTTTATCCCAAGCGATGTACAATTGAAGAAGCAGGGTCAATCATTTGAGGTTAAGGGCCTCTGTGTGGTTCAAACCGACAACCTCCAGATCATACGCACTGCATCCTAACCCACTGAACCACAGCTGTTGCCACGACTAGTAAATTACTAAGATAAAGTAGTGGTCTCACGCTCATGTTTGTTGGGCCTGACCCTAAAGTGGGACTTAACACCATGCTTTAAAATGACATTAAAACACAACCAGGCTCCCACATGAAAAACACTCTCGACACTGTGTAAACCCATCCAACCATAAAGCAGTGGCAGAAACCCGTCCAGGACACACCAGTGCCAGGGCAGTGGAGTCCGTCTCAGCGCACACAGCAGTGACCGTCATGGGTTAGTACTTGAGCCATCCAGATGCAGGTGCATGGAAAAACTGGCTAAGCTTTTATGACCGTGACCGGGGCCTGACGAAAGGCCGCGCTCGTGTCACTGCGAAGCCGCTACATTCGTGATTGTGACACCATCTGCGTATGAATGAGACACAACACGAGAAAAACAGCCTAAATATTTCAAGTGCAATAGTACAGCTTTATCAGAAAGAACCCCCCCCCTCCCTCGGAAATGATGAACACAGCAGTGTTATTATCCCCATTCCCAGCTTACTGGGGAAACCACAAGGCACTGCAACACCTCAGGACCCCTCAGCTGTGCTTCAGTTAAGTTATCAAACATACTGACTGACATTCTGAACCGCCTCAGATGAACCCAGGCCAGACTGACCCCCCTAAGACAGGACAGGCTCCAGGCTTCTCCCCAGCCTATTCTTGCAGTAGCAACACCACCTTTGACCCCGTAAATTATGCAGAGGATGTTTTGGCTGAGAAATTCATTATTGATGTGGGGTGAACCTGAGAAGGGGAATGCTAGCAGGGGAAGGGTGGCTGGAATCGCTGGTGGCTCCTTAATCTGCTGTACGTTTCTGCTCACTTATTATAGCTAAATGACACTAATTTGTATTATCAGAGATGTATATGGTCATGTGATCCAGTAAAAGTGTTTACTGAACTAGCGAAAGCCCGAAGGAACATTAAGATCCTGTAAATGATGTAATCACAGACTGCCAGATACACTGGTCTAATCTACCCGTAACATTCCTCATGGCTCTCCTGATTAGCTCTGTGTGTACACCCCCCATTTCTGTTATCATTTTGTCTCAGAACAATATGCACCACTGACCCACCTTACAGTATCATTCACCAATGAATAACCATACCATAGAGTTCAAAACTGACCCACCATACAGTACAGCTCACAACTGGCCAATCATATCATAGAGTTCAAAACTGACCCACCATACAGTGCAGCTCACAACTGACCAATCATACCATAGAATTCATCAATGATCCACCATACAATACACCTCACCACTGGCCAATCATATCATACTATTCACCACTGACCCAGCTGTCAGTACAGCTCCCCACTGACCAACCAGACAATACTGTTCACCATTGACCAATTATATCATAGTTTACCACTGACCAACCTTACAGTACAGCTCACCACTGACCACCTACGCAGTACAGTTCACCACCGACTAACTATGTCATACAGTTCCCCATTAATCAGATCACAGCAAAGTTCACCACTGACCAACCAGACCGTAAATGGCTGGCAAACCTTACAGAACCACTCATCATTAACCCATCTTACAGTATAGCTCACCACTGACCATTCATACCATACAGTTCACCACTGACCTATCTAAAAGAACAGATCACTACTGACCAATCATGCAATACAGTTCACCACTGACCCAGATCACTGTATAGCTCACCACTGACCATCCAGGCTGTACAGTTCACACTGGCCAACCTTACAGAACCACTCATCACTAACCCATCTTAAAGTTCAACTCACTACTGACTAAACATACCATAGAGCAGCGATTTTCAACCCATGGGTCACGACCCGATCAGATTCCCCAGCCCCAGTCCTGGAATTAACCTATATAAACGGGTCTTGGGTCTGCACATGTTTAGCGCAAAACTAGTGAAAACTCAACCAATCCACAGAGCCACACCACAGATGCTTAATTTAAAATTCACTGGCACAACCAATGAGATTTGTGGGAGAGACATTGATTGGCGTAAACTGCAAAGTGCTCTGTGTGCTTGATCATAGTGTTAATTTAAACCTATACTTGACACAGGGTCACAACTCAGCTGGCATGGTAAAGATTGGGTTGCGGTGGAAAAAGGTTGAGAACCACTGCCACAGAGTTCACCACTGGTTCACCTAAAAGTACCGATCACTACAGACCAAACATACAATGCAATTAATTCTGATTCATTGTAACAGCACAGTTCACCACTTACCAACCTTACAATACAGCTCAATACTGACTCACCTTATACCAAAGCTCACTACTGACCCACCATACAGCACAGCTCAGTACTGACCCATATTACAGTGCAGCTCACCACTGACAAACCATACCTAACAGCCTAGAACTGACTCATCTTACAGTCCAGTTAACCACTGTCCCACCATACAACAGCTCAATGCTGACCCACATTACAGCATCTTACTGCGGACTCTCCACCGATTTTCAGTCATTTATTTTGCGATTCGGGTTATTACTGTTATGAGATTTGACACGTGAGCAGAGTCTTGCCTTCTTCCCATCTTCATATTGCTCTGAATGCTTTTCCTAAACTTTCACAGTATAAGCAGGAAAAGGAAATGTCCGTGTCCAAATGTGACCTGTCACCTGAGCTCTCTCGCTTGCTGCTTTTTCGATACCAAGGCGCCTAGCCGTATTTCCTCTCTAAATGGGCATCACTTACATTCCAGGTGCTTCTTCTTGGGTCCCATCACTTCATGCGTGGTGGCCTTGCAGACAGCCCGGGCCACCTCCGATCCGGTCAGGCTGTACTGCGCTGCGGCGATGCGGTCGGTCAGCGTCTGCCCCGACATCTTTCTTCGGTAAAGCCAACCTCAAGAAATAAATCTCACCGAATTTTTTTTTATGTGAAGCCGCGCAAAGGGTTATATCCAAACTGTCCTCCCAAAATAATCCAAGGGTACGACCTTAGAAGCGGCGACGGTCTGCGCTGGAGCCGCTAGGTTCGCTTGTGGCCGGTTGCGCAGAGCCTCTGCATGGGCTGGGATCAGGGAGGCTGCGCTCTTCTTGTGTCGATTACCCGGGCGCCTGGCTCAGCGTGTGCCCTCTTATGTAACCGCTCAGGCTTGGTAAAAAAATAATAAATTATTAAAATAATAATTCTCTTTTAACAAATAAACGGAAGATGTAAATTGACGCGCCTTCTGATGTCAGACGTTTTGCTGCAGCAAAGTCTGTCATTTAAAAAAAAACCATATTCATTCATCTCCCATCTGTATTGTTATATCTGGAAAAAAACAAGATATTTATCCGATGTATGCAGCCCAGGATGTTAAGAGCGTTTGTTTATGACTGCGGTCCAAAAAGGCAGCGTGAGATGAGTCTTATTTCAAAGGCTGAATATCTTCACTGGTGATGACAGGCGCTTTTCCCCTCCTATACGGAGAGGCCGGTATTGCTGAATAGACGGAAGGCGGCTGCCTTTCTCTGCATGCGTATTCCCTTATTCACTCCGGCGTTTCTCCCCCTCTCTCGTCACCTTTAGGGCGGTCAGGTGACAGGTCGGTCACATCCCCCATCCCCATCGGCGGCTGCTCAAAGGACACTGCCGCGGCGACCGTCACGCTTCTGTCACACGGACACTTCAATGACCTTGTTTAATGTGGCAATAGGTAGTAACATGGGCACATCTCCATAAAGAAATGCACACAGGACACTTGGAGGTCACTGGACCTTTAATTGTCTTGCCGTCGTGTGGATTTATATCCCTTTAAATTAGGTGACAGTGTTGGTCACTAGTGACGTCTGTTGTCGCTGAATGCTAAGCACTGAGACTATATTACAGTGACATGCTACTAATGTAATAAACAAACATACAAACAAATAAATAAATACTATATATATACAGTATATATATAAACTGAGTCAAATACCCGGACAGAAAAAAAATAATTTTACAGACAGTGTTTTAATAACGATAGCAACATCTGAGAATTCAAATGTAATTAATTAAATTAATCTCCATGACTGAATGTGTCTCTACGTCCAATTTTATCCTTTGTGGATGAGTATTTTAGTCTGATCTACAAATCCATAGACAATAATGTTTTAATCACACAGATGTATGTCATACTTCTGAAATTTTACAAGCAGGACACAATAGAAGGGATTAAGCACTCGTGTATTTATTATCATATTGAAAGAGATTAAACTTTTTTTTTTTTTGGACGGATGGGATGCGGTATTACGGTTCCCTGCGTCGTGATGCTGTCTAGCGTCTCCTCAGGCTCATTCGAGTGCGCTCATTTTATAAAAATTACGGTGATGGAAGCAAACCCGGAACTGCTGCCACGTCGAGGTGCAGTCTGTTTCTGACTTTTTGATCACTTTATAAAGAGGTCTGTGGTATGTAACACGCACTCTTCAAATTTTATTCGGTTATATGCGTGCGTCAAAACCAACATAATATGTCCTCTTTTAGGTAGTTAAACCAGCTTAGGACCGCGTTACTGTGATTGTTTAAATCATCCGTCTGTTGAAATGGGTTTGGAATGAATGAAACACTGTCCGATTTAAGCATGGCAGCGATTTTTAGTGAATGCCAATTTTGAAGGTTTTAAGGATCCATGTGTCTGTTTTCATTGACCGATCGTGCTGCGTGTCCTACAGACAGCCTGGCCATGTCTACGATATGAACTGATCCGTCGAAAGTTAGCAAAGTTTATACAATACATTCTACAAACACCGCTGCCTTTAGGACAGGCTTGCAGCCATGCCTTATTTCTTGTTTAAGTCCACACACGTTTTCCGTTTTTCCTCAGGAATGGCTCTGTTTGAGGAGGTCTCCAAAAAATCCGCGCTTCACCCAAAGCCTGCCGGGCTGCTGCTGAACTATGGCACTTCCGGGTTTCGGACTGTCGCCGAGCAGCTGGATCACGTCATGTTTCGGATGGGCTTACTAGCAGTTTTGAGGTCCAAGAAGACTAAAGCCACCATTGGTGTGATGGTTACGGCGTCTCACAACCCTGAGGTATCTACTTTTTTCTGCCTTCAAGACGTCTACTGGATGCTCTTTAATTTAAAAAGTAATTGTATAGGGCCACTTTATAAGCCTTGAGCTTCCTATGTTTTTTTTCCCAGAACATGTTCCCATTGCTGTCTCAGTGGTGACAGTCTCCAGTAACACAGTCCTATGTGCTGGGCTAGATTAACACAGCCTTCTCTGGGTGTTAACTTCAGCTCTATCCTCCTGCAGGAAGACAATGGCATCAAGCTTGTGGATCCCATGGGTGAGATGGTGACCCCTACCTGGGAGGAGTACGCCATGCAGGTAGCTAATGCTGAACAGGAGGCCCTCCTCACAGTGCTTGGAGACATCATGAAGAGGGAGGCCATCGACATCAATCAGGGGGCTGCTGTCTTTATAGGCAGAGACACCAGGTACTGTGTGTGGAGGGCTCGGTTCACTGCTTTACCATGTTGTTGGGATTGCAGTGTGATGGGCTCTTGGTATGTTCCCAGTCTTCAACCCTGTTGCTTTCAGGATGGTTCAGTCGCAGATCGTGCCTGTTTGTCTTCCCTCTCAGGCCCAGCAGTGAGAGTTTGAGCCAGGCAGTGCTGGATGGCATCCTCTCCTTGGCCGGTCACGCACATGGTATGTTCAGATACCGCACGCCTCTGCATGCTGCTCACAGCCAGCTTTTTTTTTTCCCAGAACTTTCCACTCCTTCACACTCTCTCCTCTCTTAAGACTATGGTGTGCTGACTACCCCTCAGCTGCACTTCATGGTTCGCTGTGAGAATACGCAGAGTCGCTATGGCAACCCCACCACTGAGGGCTACTACCAGAAACTGTCGCAGGCTTTCGTCCAGCTCGTCAAGCATGTGAGAGCAACCAGCTTGGCCCAAGTTTGCACTACACCCACCTCACACATATGACGGCTTCTTTCACATGAGAACTTACAGGATCTGAAGGGGTGGATTTGTCTGGGGGGGGGGGCGAGGCTATGGGGGTGCCGAAGCAGCGATCCGAAATAGAAATTATAAAGAATTAGCTGATTATTGATTACGTGTGATGTCACTTTGGGGGGTGGGGGGTGCTGGAGCCCTATGCTGCAGCCTAGGATAGCATTTTTATTCATTTCCCCCTGGGGAACTGCAAATTTTATTTGTTACATCAGAATATAATACGCTCTGCACTTGAAGTTTGTCCAGTCTGCAGGATTTTATCTGTAATTATGTGGCTAGGTATAAATGCACTAGGTATAAATGCACTAGGTATAAATGCACTAGGTATAAGTAGACTAAGTATATCTGGACTAGGTTTGACTGGACTTTGCCTTCTTTCAGGCCCCAAACCGCACTGACGACCAGAAGCATCTTCTTGTGGATGGAGCCAATGGTGTTGGGGCCCTGAAGCTGAGGGAGATGGAGCCCTTTCTGCAGAAGGAGCTGCAGATCTCGCTGTTCAACAAGGGCACTGGGGGCAAACTTAACTTCCAGTGTGGTGCTGACTATGTCAAAGTCCAGCAGGGACCTCCTCTGGGTGAGGCTAGCTTCAGCGGATGGCTTCCTTGGAACGAACTTTGACAGTTGCTGATTGAGTTTATGATTAAATAATAGCGCACACACACATGCTATGTGTCATTTTAATCCAAGGCTCAGTTTTAATGAATGAAAGCATTGAGGGCATCCCATTCCTTAAGGGAAATCTCTCCCATCTCCCACAAAGAGAAGAATAAGACGTGAGGCCAGCCACATCTCTCTCTCTCTCTCTCTCTCACTCTCTCTCACTCTCAGGAGTTGAGATGCTTGTGGGTCAGCGCTGCTGTTCCTTTGATGGTGATGCAGATCGGATTGTTTACTACTACAGTGACTCCGAGGGCCGTTTTCACTTGCTGGATGGTGACAAGATTGCTACACTTATCAGCACCTTTCTGAAAAAGCTGGTCACACAGGTGAACCTGAACCAAGCTCAGCCATAATTGCAGCAGCACATTGCTTGGAGGTTAAGGGCTTGGGTTGGTTAACCGGTCATTTTTTTTAACTGTGTGTTTTTGTTCCAGGCTGGTCTGGACTTGCAGATTGGTGTAGTGCAGACAGCATATGCTAATGGGAGCTCCACGCGCTACTTGGAGAACAACATGAAGGTAATACCTGTCAATGTCACTGTAGGTTCTACCTATCAGTGTGAATTATACCTGTCAGTGTCACTGTAGGTTCTACCTGTCAGATACCAGTCTGTGTGAATTATACCTGTCAGTGTCACTGTAGGTTCTACCTGTCAGATACCAGTCAGTGTGAATTATACCTGTCAGTGTCGCTGTAGGTTATACTTGCCAGATACATGTCAGTGTTATTGAAAGTTCTACCTGTCAGATACCAGTCAGCGTCACTGTCGGTTCTACCTGTCGGTGTCACTGTAGGGTCTATCTTTCGGTGTCACTGTAGGTTCCTCCTGTCAGGTACCTGTAGGTGGCACTGTCGGTTCTACCTGTCGGTGTCACTGTAGGGTCTATCTTTCGGTGTTACTGTAGGTTCTACCTGTCGGTGTCACTGTAGGTTCCTCCTGTCAGGTACCTGTAGGTGGCACTGTTGGTAATACCTGTCAGTGTCACTGCATGTAATACCTGTTCATCCATTGATTTCAATCAGTTGGTTTTCAGTTTTTCTACCATAGCACCTGCATCACGTTATGAAATACTAATTCTGTTATTTTAATCTGCTGGTTGCTAACCATGTGTAGTGTTTAGACTTGCTGCTATTTGGATTTTTGGATTCTGACCTCTGGCTTCTCATCTCAGGTGACAGTACGCTGCGTAGAGACTGGTGTAAAGCACCTGCATCATGCTGCCCAGGAATTTGACATTGGTGTGTACTTTGAGGCCAACGGTCATGGTACGGTAAGTAGCAGCAGAAATGCCTTTGGCAAATTGATACCAGTTCCTAGTACATCTAAATCTTACAACAGGATGCTCAATAAAAGTTTTCTAATGATAATAACCCATTGTTTAGGGGTTTAATCTGTTCCTGCTGGGTCTACACCCTGTTCCCTGTGTGTGGCCCAGGAGTTTGGGATTTTGTACCTGTGATCAAAAGGTTGCTAGTTCAAATCCCAGGATCGGCAGAGTGTTTTCACCATTAGCCCCTTGAGCAAGACCCTTAACCCCCAGTTACTCCAAGGACTGTCTGACCCTGACCATGCTTTCTCAATAAAATATTCTTCTAAAGAAATCAAATGCAATGTAAAAATGTAACGTAATGTTCTCCACTGGGACTTGTTTGACGATTCTTTCCCAGGTTCTTTTCAGTGAGTCTGCAGTAGAGAAGATCCAGCAACTAGCCATGGACTCCAGCACCAGCGATGAGAAGAAGAGTGCCGCTCAAATACTGGAGAACACAGTCAACGTCACCAACCAGGTGATGTGGTCTGCAGGGCGTCGTCGGGGCAGAAATAGTCAATGCATCACCGTCCACTCATGGTTCTCCACAGGCGGTGGGCGACGCCATCTCCGACATGCTGCTTGTGGAGGCTGTGCTAGCGGTGCAGGGCCTGTCCCTGCAGCAGTGGGACGCCATGTACACGGACCTGCCCAACAGGCAGCGTAAAGTGAAGGTGCGCTGCACGCTCTTTCCCTGTGTGAGACGCCGCGTGGGGCCGTGAGCTGCTGCAGCATGACGCTGTGTCCATCAGGTGGCAGACAAGAGCGTGATCACCACGACAGACGCCGAGAGGCGGGCGCTCAGTCCGGCCGGCTTGCAGGACGCTGTGGACGCACTGGTGAAGCAGTACCGCCTGTCTCGAGCGTTCGTCCGTCCCTCTGGCACCGAGGATACGATTCGAGTGTATGCTGAAGCAGACACGCAGGTAAGGACACAGCTGGAGATGCACAGGCCATAATACAGCTACAGACGCACAGGTAAAAACACAGCTACAGACGCACAGGTAAGGACACAGCTACAGACGCATGGGTAAGAACACACAGGCAAAGATACTGCTGCAGATAAACAGGTAAAGACAGCTACAAATGCACAAGCAAAGACACAGCTAGACACACACAGGAAAAAACAGTACTACGGATGTGCAGGCAAAGACACAGCTAAAAATGGACATGTGAGCATGCAAACACACAGGGAAAGGCAGCAGCAGTGTCTGTGCAGATTGATTAGTGTTGTGTATGTACGTGTGTGTGGATGTGTGTGTGCACCATGATTACTGGTGTGTATGTGTGTGTGTGTGTGATAATTACATTGTGTTTAGTGACATGTATGCTCTGTTTCTGTTTTAGGAAAACACAGATTCACTTGCTCATGAAGTTTGCATGGCTGTTTACCGTCTGGCTGGGGGGGTCGGAGAGGAGCCGCAGCCTCTGTGTTAGTGCTGTCTGTCACACGCTAACACACGGACAGTCGTGCACATGCAGGCAGGCTTAGCTCTGAGCCAGCCATCTTCATACTGTAATCTAGCAGTACTTTCATCCTGTACTGTGGAATTAACTTAAGGTGGCCATCTCTACAAACTACCTGATGTCACATGCCTAACAAATCTTTTTCTCTGGAAATTTTTATATAAGGAAAAAGATAATCACTACAATCATTTATGGAGAATGCTGCAAATTTTGTATTTCAATAGAAAATAAAATTTACCGCTCAGAAAACATTAATGCCTAAATGTGAGTGTGATTGTGTGTGTGTGTGTGTGTGTGTGTGTGTTTGTGTGTTTGTATGTGTGTATCAAACAGACACCACTGGCCTTTTGAATTATTGTCTGAAAGACTTGCATTTACTGTACCAAAAATAGGTAGGTAGCCAAGTTAGTAGCATTGCCATTTTTTGTCCTTATTTTGAATGATGTGTGTGTGTATGTATATGTATAGATCTGCATGTTTTTCCATTGTCTCGCTATATTTTGCTACCAGATGTTTTTTGCACATGATCATTAGTTGTGAAAGGTGAAAATGAATTATTGTATCGTCGTGTCATAGACTGCATGAAGACAGTCACGCTGTGTTAACTGATTTGCAGTTAATGATGCCAGAATATTCCGGTACTATGTTTTACAAAGAGATGTGGCAAGAAAAGACAATATTTTGCTGAGAATTTTATTTCTGACAGTTTCTTAAGCAAAAGCTGGATTAAGCAAAAAAGATTTTTAAAAATTCCTTATTATGCCCCATTGACTTGTACAGAATACCAGTATAATCCCTCTGTGACTGTTTGTAATGTTATAATGTGGCGAAGGTGCTGGATATCAGTCTGGACTCTGGGGTCCTTCAAAGGGGGGTTACAAGCAAGATTGTCCATGACTGTCGACACATGGGTCCTTCAAGGGGGGTTACAAGCAAGATTGTCCATGGCTGTCAACACAGGGGTCCTTCAAAGGGGGTAAAATTCCATGGATATCGATTCTGGGGCCTTAGAAGAAAGATTGGACACGGGCATGAGCCCTTAGGTCCTTCGGAGGGGAATAGAAAGATTGCCATGGACGTTGACTCTGGGGTCCTTCAAAAAGAAGGTTACAGGAATGATTGTCCGTGATTGTGGACTCTGGTGTTATTAAAAGAGGGTTAAAAGAAACCTTGCCCGTGGATGTGGACTCTGGGACACTTCAAAGGGGGTTAGAAAGTAGCTTTGCTCTCTATTCTTCATCAGAGTCATCAGCCGCACCTGAAATGCTAAAGGTTCGCTCTTGGATGTCGCTCTGTATGACATCATCTTCTGCCTTAACTGTTCTGAGATGAAGCAAAGATACCAATTAAAACTTATTTACTCATTCATTGTTAGGAATTATGTAAGAAAATTTGTATAGTTCTCATGAGGTTCGGGGTTTAAATAACAAAAAGATTGCGATACTTTTACCTGATCAGCAATGTCTTCCTCTCTGTCACCTCCACTGCCTGTTCCTTGGAATAGCTCTCGATGGCGCTGGTGTGACCTGTCATTCCCCAGCTGGCATCGGAGCTGCCTCTTATCAGAGACGTCCCTCTTACCATGCCTGTCAGGCGTGTGTCCTCACCTTCTATGAGCTTCCTGTGGAAAGCATGCAGACCATCACCTTTCATTAACGAGTCAAAGACCAAATGCCTGTTTCTGATTATGTTTCTCCAAGGGAGACCTACGGCTCCTTCACTTTGCAGCCAATTTTTACCTGTAGGTGATTATTTCTATCTCTAGAGCCATCTTTACATTCAGCAGATCCTGATATTCTCGCATGTGAAGAGCAATTTTCTGCTTGATGGACTTCAGCTCGAGTTTAAGGCTGTCGATCTTCCCCTGTGTGAACAAAGGCAGAGCAGAGATGATCCTCAAGATGTAATCAAATGCTACATGGCATGACTTGCGATTGCTATCAGAAAGGACAGAGAAGAAGACAATGAGAGTCATTTCCTAAGCCGACTGCCATGGTATTTACCTCTCACCAAGCCTCAACAGCTCACAATCTGCAGTGGGATCGCCCCATTGGGAAGTGGTTTGCTTGGCACTATTGAAGCTCTATGCTTTTGTGTGTATAGTACTTCTGATGAGAGTATTTTCCCTACAACTATCTTGCACTTGTTACTGACCAATCACGGAAAGCACAGCCTAGCAGCACTTGTAACTAAGTAGGTTCCTTGACAGCTGTATACTGCCTTCCTTGCTGACACATCAATATTTAAATATGTAAGAACACGCAGACTGTAGGTTGTCATTTGCAGAATGACCTGTAGTTCCTCCAGTTCTTTCTTGTGCCTCTCCTGAGTCTCCCGGATTTTCACTTTCAGAGCCTCGTTCCTGGTCTTCAGAGCATCCAATTCGCGCTCTTTACTCTGAATCTGTACAAAGCAGCATGTAAAACCAAGTTCCGCACCCAAATTATAGCTGAATTCATCATAGGCGTTATCCTTATTTTGGACATATATACATATGCAATATAATGAGTTCAAAATGATTTTTTCGTTTATGTTTTGATTTCACCATAAACACCATGAACCTACCGACCATAAATGATGAGACCATATAGTCTCATTGCTTTGGAAAGCTGAGGTACTTACACCTTTCTTCATTTCTGAAATCTCTCCTCTTACGTTCCGGACTTTTTCCACATGTTTACTAGACGCATTATTTAAGTCTTCAAATTTCGCTTTATACCAAGCATCCATATCCTGGAAACACAAAAAAACTAGATCAGGTGAGTCATTGTGTCGCCTTTCAGACCTCCCGTGTGCATCCGCAGAATCCCGATTGCTCATTTCTGCGGGTTACCTGTAAATTCTTTGCAGAAATGTCGTCATACTGAGACTGGATTTGTTTAAGGGCAGAAGCTAAGTCGGGCAGAGAGAAGGCCACCTCGACTTTGGCAACTGCGCTGAAAATCTGTTGCATTAATTCCTCGATTTCCTGGTAGGGAAAAAGCATGAATAATTGAGCGGGTTACGTTTGATGCTAAAATAGTCAGCAAAGGTGTACGTCAATCTGCATCAGGAAACCCAACATACCTCTTTATGCACCCTGTTCAGAAATTCAACTTCCACCTGCAGGTTCTCAAGCTGTTTTTCCAGGCTGATACGAGCAGAGGTAGCCGTGTCCACATCCTGGGTGCCAAAGAGGACACAAACATGCGCATGGGTCAGAGACTCTCCATACCTTATTTTATTGCAGGGCAGTCAGTAAGAGCCCTCACCGGCCGAAAGGCTTCGATCTCCAACTCCGCCTTCTTCCGAGCTTCTGCTGCTTCCTCGTATTTGACTTTGAGCATCTCAAGCTGAGACGCCATGGCACTTTTTGCAGTGTGAGCGAGGTCCTATCGGGCCAGCCAGGGTAGAAGAATAAAGATGTATTACAGACAGGGATGGGGATCACAGGGGATTTTGTCCCCAAATGAAGGCTGTTTGCCCACTCTCCTGTCCCTAACCTATTCAAAACATATCATTGGCTAATAATATGGTTGGCCCCTCTGTATGAATTATGGCACCTCCCACCATAAAAAGAATCCTAGAACTGCCTCGATTACAAACCAAAATTTAACCATTTAACTGAGAGGCTTTTGGCGATGGGCTGCTCTCGATTACGGAAAATGGCCCCTAGCGTTTAAGCTACAATGTAGCATTGAGCTGTAACGTGAATATGGCATTGGCTTGACGAGTCCCACCCGCTGTGCTTTCATCTGCTCAGCGACCCTCCGTAGCTCCCTCAGCTGCTCCTCGTAGAGGCCCCGCAGCCCCGATGGCTTGACGAACCGCTTCTCCAGCTCACTGATCTCCGTCTCCAACAGCTTGTTGTCCTGCTCCAGGGTGCGAACCTTCCATACGACAGGAGCACGGGACATAAATGACCCCTTACCTCTTTGGAATCACAGGGCGTGTGCACATATAGAAAAATGGGGGATGCTATGACTGTGATCGGAAGGCAGCCAGTCCAAATCACAAGGCTGGTATGATTGTACAGTAGGACCTTTAAGAAGACCCCCAGCTTCTCCAGAGACCCTGCTTTCTCAAGAATGTGCATTGCTTTGGATAAAAGCATCTGTTAAATGCATAAAATGTGCAAGTAAAAAGTAGGAAGTGATATGTGTTTCCTTTACTCTCTAAGCAATGCATGCATGCTGCTCTCCTGTTAATCCCTGGTAATTGGCCCTATGTGGCAGGAAAATTATTTAGCATAGATGCTAAAGAGGCAGTCGCACTTTTTCGATGTAGGCCGCCAGCCGGTCATTCAGCACCACCATCTCCTGCCGCTCGCCGCTCCGCGTGTTGAGGAACTGCTGGTTCTCCGCAGTGGCTGCGTCCAGGTCAAAGCCGGAGGCCATGTAGGCGCTGACACAGAGCGCGCTCGTGCTAATGCTGTAGAGACATATCTCTCTCAGCATATGACATCAGCATGGACTCAGACTGAGCAACTTGCAACTGCATTATTGACAGAAAAGCTTGTTTTTATAACATGGGATAATCGTTGAACAGAGTCAGTAGTTGAACGGATTTTAAAAATACTTTAGCAACTAACATCAGCTATATATCTATCCACTTCTGCTAGCTTACGGCTCTTAGCAACAACTGTGAAACATGTCATACCAAACATATAAGGATTAATGAGTAAATAGACGCCAGATTCAATCTGAAAATTATCCCGACGACTCTACGCATGTAGTAAATTCAAGGTCTCCTGAGCTTGAACAGGTCAGCTGGACCCAGCCAGCCTCCAGAAGTGCTTACAAAATGAACCCATATTTTGGTTGGATGCAGAGTATAGACTGTCTTCACCATTGCCCCACTCTCAGTCTAATAGTTTGTCACCCCAAATGGTATGATATTTATACAAATATAAAGCATGATTTGCATATTGACACCATATAGATCCATATCTAGAGCTGGTCCAACCCTTTTTGGTGCCCTAAGCAAAATTTTAGTAAACTATATTATTATTATTATTATTATTATTATTATTATTAAGTCATATTGACTCATTTGTCATCTTCCTCCCCATCCTGTCAGCCTGATAAGATGGGGGGCCCCCTGGTGGCCACTGAGACCTAAGCAGCTGCTTAGCTCACTTGCGCCTTAGGCTGGTCCTATCCATGGATATGTTTCCCAAACGCTCCCATTAGCAACGTACATAGTTGGAACCGTTCAGTTCAATGGTTCCAACTATGTAAGTTGCTAACGTTGCTAGAAACTATGCTTATGG